AGATTTAAAACTAAAAAGTCAACTAGATCAGAGGCAATTGGAGGATCTAAATAAAAGTATTCGAAAAGCCATTAAAACAGACATTAGAACACACAATATGAATATGATAATAGAAATCATTAAACAAAATAAAGAGCCTAACTTTCATAAAAAGAAAACGAGTAAAAATAAATCAGAAATAAATAGACTTAAAGATGGTAGGGGTCGGATGATAACAGACCGGGACAATATTATACGTGTTGTTGAAGAGTTTTACGCAGAGCTCTATGCGTCAAAAATTGAGGAGCCTGATTCGTCGAATATCCAAGATCCAATTGGTTTTGCTCTGAAACAAATGAAACGTGGCAAAGCATCAGGCGACGATGGAGTTTGCGTGGAAACGCTACAAGCAGGTTCTCCAATTATCCTAAGACCTCTCACAAAACTTACAACAGAGTATTATTACATTATATATTATATTGGGGTCACCCAAAGCCGGGGAATACGCCATTGTCACGATATTGCATAAAAAGGGAGACAAATGCAAACTAGAAAACTACCGCCCGCTTGCTTTCCCAAATACATAAACTGTTTGCCAAAGTCCTGTGCAATAGATTAACCCAATCCCTAGATGAATATCAACCCATTGAACAGGTTGGCTTCCGGAGTGGATACTCCACCGCAGACCACATCCATACTATCAAACAACTGACGGAGAGATGCCGAGAGTATGACCGACTCATATGCTTAGCCTTTGTGGATTACGAAAAGGCTTTCGACAGTGTTGAGCACTGGGCCGTGTTCCATTTTCTGCATGGTTGTAATATAGACAAAAATTATGTGGGTATCCTCCGGGAGCTATACAAAAACTCAACACCCCAGGTCCGAATGCACAGACTTACCGATTTCGTCCCAATCCGATGAGGTGTTCGTCAAGGCGATACCAACCAAGGTAAGGTAAGACAAAATCAAGGTTATGGCCAACTTTGCGGGTCCTAAATATAATATAAATGTAAGCAACTGCCCTATAGAGGTAGTGGACGACTACATCTATCTGGGTCATTGTCTATCCTTCGGCCCCGCTTTTCAGCTTAAAGAAATCAAGAGACGAACTCAACTAAGATGGGCTGCCTTCAATATGTTGGAAGATGTGTTCAAGTCTACAATCTCTCAATGCCTGAAGACCAAGGTGTTCAACCAATGTGTCCTACCTATACTTACTTATGCTTCCGAGACATGGCCGCTCACGAAAGAACACGTGCACAATGTTCGAGTAACAAAAAGGGCAATGGAGCGCGCCAGGCTCGGAATTTCTCTCCAGGACCACGTACTCAATGTAGACATTCGACGTCGCACAAAGATAACAGACGCGGGTACGAGGATAGCCAAGCTTAAGTGGAAGTGGGCGGGTCACTTGGCTAGAAGGAACGACGGAAGATGGACGAAAGCCGTTACTGACTGGTGGCCAAGAGACACGAAAAGACAAAGAGGCAGACCTGCCGCCCGATGGATTGATGACATTAAGGCCATAATTGGAAACCACTGGACACGACTCGCCAGAGACCGGAAAGAATGGCGCAATAGAAAAGAGGCCTATACTCAGCGTGGGTGCAAACAGGCTGAAATGATAATGAGTAAAACTACTAATTTGTATCTTCCATTGTATCGTCTGTCTTGTATCGCACATCAAATTAAAGAAATTTGTCTTTCGAAGCCGATCTGTAAACTAAACGCTTAAAAATAAAATGAATTTCATTCAGACTTTATTCCTTTATCATTAATTCATGTACAATACAATTAACTTGTGAACTTATTTTACAATTTTATTAAAAATGTATACTCTGTAAAATTCAGCTAAATGGGAATGACACATGTCAACGTTCATGAACTAGCTGATTGGACCTTAGAGGATGGACATAGTCAAAGGATTGGAGATAATCAGTGAATTCAATAAAATATAATATAGATAGACTGAACTGTTATCGTCGAAGTTTTGTAGAAAGGGCAAAAGAACAATTTCGAAAAAGAGAGCATATTTTAGTTTTTCACCACCATTTCAAAATATGTCAGTAATTTTCAGGTAAGTTTTTTGTACTCAATTTTGGTGACAATTTCTTTTTATTTAAATATTTAACAGAAAATCGTCTTGAAGTATTATTTAATATTCGAGTGTGGTAACCTGAAATATTCTTTAATATTCGAGTGTGGTAACCTTAAATATTCTTTAATATTTCACGATGATATTCGAGTAATTATAAAAATTGTCACCAAAATTGAGTACAAAAAACTTAGCTGAAAATTACTGATACAGCACTTAATGACTTCTTGCAATAAGCCGACGATTAGGACACTGCTACAAATTTACATCATCCCAATTTTACCGATCTGTCTTCTAAACCAACAAAATTTTACAGAGTATCACAAGCATTTTAAGCTTGACAATTTGACAGCTCGTATAAAAATATATTAGAATACTATACACCAGTTACAGTTTGGTGGCTCTGGAGCTTAGCAATTTCATCCTTAAACTTAGCTATTGTTTCTTTAGCCAGTCCCAGTTTCTCTTTAAGTTCTGATATCTCCGTGCGTACTTTTGTTTGTGATGATATTATCTTTTCAAGAGTTTTTTCTTTCTTATCTTCAACTGAAAAAAGACAAGTTGTCATAATTGCGGTTCTCAAAACTAAACTAACAACTGAATCATGATATTATCTATCTGCCTGTCCTTCATTCGCAATGTCGCTGCTAGTCAGCCCCAATACATGCTCGTCCTGCACTTATTTTCATGTAATTTTTGTAATACATAAACATATATCAAGTCCCAAAAATTAAACGAAAAATTTTTGTTTTGAGACCCTTACAACAGACACACCCAAAGAACTCTGTAGCCATTGCATAATTCAACGTAGTCACATTGTTTTTCAACATTAATTTACTTTGGCCAATTTTTTGTTGTTTCAGGCTATTTGCTTAGCCAGTTGATTTAAAATTTTTATTAGAAGCAGGATTATTTAATTTTATTCATCCTTATTTTTATTTTTATTTTTGATATTATATGTCCATTTATCAGTAATGAATAGTAACAATTTTACTATTCATTACTGATAACTGTAATTGGCCTATCCAAAAAGTGTTAAACATATGTTAAGACTAGAATTGTATTAATTATGGCTGTTGTTATCCCAAATAAAGGGATGTCAGGACGACGTACCTCCACGCGAACGAATGGCTTCCTTTCCCATGTAATCTTGGATTGCATAGGCAGGGAAGATACGAGCCGGTGCATACTGGGCAACTCCTAGTAAATGCCTGTACTCTGTCCGGGCATTTGCTGGGCGTAGGCTAAAGTGTCGTCACCCAATCCGGAGGTGTTGTGGAGGTGTTGTTGACAGAAGAAAATAACATCAACACTTTAATTTCCTCCTTGGAGAACACATTGGCTGGGATGGGTAGTCCACCCAGCAACAATAATGAGACTTCGGTCACGCCCATGGATACGAACCAGGCGGATCCTTCGGATCCTTTGGTGTCGGAATCCAGCGCTCAGCCACGCATTCGGCTGAGCGGTTCTCGCCGGAAGAGACTGCAGGGCCTAATGAGAACAGGTATGAGCTATGCGGAAGCTCTGCCTGTATCTGAAAAGCCCTGGAGTGAACATCCGGTGCCTAAACCATTTCCACAACCCAAAGCGCAAAAACGGTCAGAGGAGGCGTCACCCCAGAGACACAACAGGAAGGCTCCCAGGACCATGGCGCCAGCTGAAAGCGGGGATTGACCTACTTTTAGCGAAATGGCGGGCTCCCTGCGCGTGGGTATCCGGAATTCGGAACCTATGTCGCAGGAGCAAATGGAACTTGTTGAGCTGTTTCTGGTCCGCACCATTGCGAATACAACATCGCATGGCGAGGGACCAAAGTTCCTGGGCGTCTTCCAAAAGCGAGGCTGGATCCTTGTGACCTGCAGGGACCAAGACAGTGCAGACTGGCTTGAGGGAAAGATCAACAACCTCAAGCCATAGCCGGAAGCTCAGCTATCCACAATTAAGGAAAGCGAGCTTCGTAAGCCCACCACTGCCACCACTTACATTCCAAAAAAGGGGTGTGAGTCGGTGCCAATGGCCGTCAGTCTACTGGGGGCCCAAAATAGAGGTCTCCGCACAGAAGTGTGGACGACTCTCCACACTAGGGAAGATGCGAACGGATGGATAGTCGTGTTCGCTCTTGATGACCCATCTGTGGAGTCTTCGGGCTTCAAATTGCCGGGCATACCTCGGTCTTAAACAGGTTACGTTTAAGATCAAGGGGTGTCCGGAAGGTACAGTCAGCGGCGGCTCCGCGCGGGGTGTTTCGGCTTCGAAACCAGAGTCGGTAACAAGTCCGCTCGAGGAATCGGGGCCGGGAGCCTCAGCGCAGGAGGGCATCTGTCGGAGCCAGAAAAGTCCTTCAGTTCTTCAATGCTGTCAGCCTTGGCTCCGAAATGTAATTAGTGGTGATCACAATAGATCAACGGATGGTCGCAGTGATGAGGGGCTACATGTGCCCCGAATATACGCGATTTAAATCCGGAAATAGTTTCATTTCCTAAAAAATATAAATAAAAATTTATATTCTTTTGAGTTCTGGAATGAAGGTTCGTTTTACCTATCTACCCTCATTTTACATTTCAATGTGTTCTGGGCCACAATAATAAAATGTGTGCTTTCAATACAATAAGAAGTTCCCTTAAAACAAAAGGAATCTAAAAGCAAGGACAATATTAAAGACAGCGAAAAGAACAGAGTAGGAAGAGATTGATATCTTGGTTAATCAAAAAGTGTTTTATAATATTACAAAGTAGTTACTTAAGATAAAACAGGCCATGTGACATTTTCGCAATCCAGGCTTAGAAATACTTCAAAATATACTTACAATCAGTATCATGTGACCAAGTTCCGTTAGTAATAGGCTTCACACTGTTTAGCAAAAGCTGCATGAGCTGCGTAGGTTCTTGGAAAACTATTTCCTCATAAGACTCGCTCACAAGAGCACGACCAACTGTGGGTGGTGCTCCTTCTGCCACTGGTGATTGGAACAACTTTAGGATGTGATAGAGGGTTACCTGAAAAGGTTAACAGAAAACTAAAGCTATCAATTACTAGGTTGTATTGAATATCACAAAAAGAAACAATTTTTTTCTTGCTATCTAATGAAATGTGATCAGAGACCAGGAGAGGATAAAATGTATAATGCTGACAAGTGCAATTCGTGGATAGTTATTTCATTTCTATATTATTCATATGTTAGTCCTCACATTACAATAATAATATATTATATGGGTTCTAGTTCCTTAATGTAAATAAATAAATAAATTTAGAAAAACAACATTGTCAATTTTCTACAATTTTGTTTTTCTATTACCACAATGAAATATATTTATGTTAATTCACACAACATGCTAAACTATAATCTATAATATAATATATCTTTATTGTTTCTCTCACAAAGTCTTAGTATAAATACAAAAACAGCTCTTGCCTTTTGAGTATGAGAAGTTTTTGGAATAAACAGATGTTGAGTGTAATGTTAAATTTTTTAGACAGAAATGGCATCAGAATGCTCACTAGTCTTAACAGGACGTTGTGGCTTGAACAAGAACATGTCAAGTATTGGGCAGAGACAGAGAAAAGAGTGTAGAATCTGCCATGAGGCGGATGAAACTCCTGTTCATCTTCTCACCCTACGCTATCCCCTGATGGGCGTACGAAGCTCCATACCAGGAAGGCATATGGTACAACCAGAGGACATAAAATCTGTCAGTACCTGGAAAGTCCTTTAGTTCTATAATGCCGACGGCCTTGGCTCTGAACTGTAATTAGTAGTGATCACAATAGATTGGTTAGGTTAATGTTTGCAGTAATGAGGGGCTGCATATGCCCCATATGCTCCAAATAATAATAATAACGCACACACTCAACATAGCCCCGCACTAGGGAAACCCTGTGTCGCGGGTGCCATGGACACACACTTAGACAACCACAAATTACACCCAAACTCACGAGAGAAATAAATGTAGGCCATACAAATATATCTCCCGGCCCGGGAATCGAACCCGGGGACCTCTGCGGGGCAGCCCGGCATGGTAACCGTTCAGCCACGGAGGCAGTTAATAATTAAGCCACCCTAATAATAATAATAAAGTATATGTAAGACCTTGTGCTGAGTAAAAACAAACCAGATCAAGAACATCTGCTGAATTTTGTCTCTTTTGTCTTATGGTTGAAAAACACTCACCGGTCTCTCATTAGGATCATGAAAGTAAATCTTAATGACAATCTCAAACTCTCCCCACCCTGTCTCAGTTAGCTCATACGGCGGCTTCGTTACTATGCGATTCGGGTTGGCGTAACTCTCGTGAAGCTTGAAGTGCACTTTTTTTATATACGCGGACATATCTTCATTGGCATACGGTTTCACATACACGGTCCACTGATGAGTATGACCGTCCTCTTCTCGTTTCTTCCCGAAGTACCGAGCGATATTGCCGTACACTATTGGTTTTACTATCACTAGACCCTGGAAAATATCCAAATGCAATTTCACCCCATTCAAAATTGGAGCTACAATGTCGAAACCAGCCTGCTACATCGCACATGCAATGAATATCACTTTAATTTGCCAGTGAATAGCGTTACATATGAAAATTTTAGTGGCAAAGCATATTTAAATGGAATTTAAGGAAAAATGACTACATTAGAGTTTTGCCGGTGTGAGTAAACCGCAACTACAAACGTGTTTTTACCTTCACTCTCCCGCCGGAATCTGGACCGAAGTCGGTCGGCAAACTCATTTCAAGATCCAATTTGGAAGTCAGCTTGGCTTTGGTTAAGTTTAGAACAAAAAACGAATCAAGTTCACTTCACTTTTTATTTTTATGGCTCCATCAATATGAGAACTGATGATTTTGCCAATGTCACAGTTGAAAGAAAAAAAAACGAAACAAAAAAAAAAATTTTCGCTAAGCTCTAATAGGACATTAACCGGTGTTGGTAAGTTGGACTACGGGAGTACTCAGTTGAGAATGTAAAACAAAACAGCAAAACAATATTTATAAATATATGTTATTTAAGTGGATAAATTTACATAGAGTAACAATATGGGGGGAGAACACTAAAGTTAAGAGGTTGTTTATGTTAACGGGGCGGGGGAATTTTGGAGAAAGTAAGTTATAAAGTGGAACAGCAATATTAGGACAATTGAAAAAAATGTGTTCCAAGGTACCGTCTTCTAGGCCGCACTCGCACAGAGAGTGATCTCGAACTCTGATTTTACGCAAAAATACAGGTGTGCAAACATGGCCTAAGCGCAAACGAATAATAGTGGAAGTGATGTTTTTAGGCAAATCGCGACGTTTAAAAAACCAGGGTTTAGTGGGTAGATTTGGTTGGAGATTACCATAGTGTCTACCAACAGTTTGTCGTGATTCCTGCCAAAGGACCGACCAGGAGGCTAGCATTTGGGGTTTAGTCATGGCGAGCAGAACGAACGAATCAAGTTCTGTTGTTAAACAAAAGTCTAACCTAAAATTTGCTTCTGTCACTGTCAGTGAGTATGTTTTTTTCTTGGCTTTACGTATAGGCATTAAGTGGCAATATTCGTTATTTTTTTATTGTAATACTTTGTCTATTCTAATGTCATTTACACATACTGATACTTAAGCTTAAAGTTGTTCATATTTCAATGTTTTTATTAGGCGAGTAAAAACAATGACTACGGTAATTAGGCTGCGGACACCGAAATGGCTACGGTAATTAGAATGAGAACACTGAATGTGAGAATGGCCTACTCATACACGTCACTTCTTGCTACGTGTTGTGGCTGCACTGGCGTTTCGGGGGATGCATTAAAGATGCTACCGATACTTTCGGACGGTTTTACAAAGTCGTAATGTGATCAGTTGTGAGATAATTACGCGATCCAATAAAAGCGTCGCGTCGGTCCAACGATCGCAACTTTCCCCTAGGTATTTTTCAAAGAATGAACGTAAACGTATAACATACGAAATAAAACAGTACTGTTGCGATATCGCATTTTTATTTTAGAAGGCAAGTGAACAATGGTCCAACAAGCTCTTAATTTCCCTTATAGCTAAATACAATAAAAGTTCTGAATAACATTTAGATTTAGACTAACTACCCACTTAATTACATAATTGCTCTTTAGTATAATGAGCACAGATCATATAATTAAGTAAAATCACAACAATAATAAAGTGGACCTCACGGATCGCGTACCTTACTCATACTGAACTAACTAACGTGGAGCCCGCTCTCTCGCTTCTTAATTTGCATTAGGCCGGCGGCGGTGGACGTTCCCTGAAAGTCCACTCACGGAATTTGACATCGATTGTATTACATTTTTTTTGCTTTTTAAAATCTGCGAACATTCATCTATTTTAACACTGAAGGGGAGGGGTCACAATTATGGGAGTTCAAAGCACATATATTTAAGTAGGCATTTCAGCGGCAGAGCCCGAGAAGGTACCAGCAGTGTCAGAGTTAAAATTTATGTTCAGAGCGACCCTGTTCTACGTCGAATAACAGCGGGTCGCCCTCGTCGCCGCAGCGAGAGGCGCGAGAGCTATAACGTGACGACATGCGATGCGGTAGCGTCAGCAGATTGGGCACCAGCGCGCCGCACGGTGTCGCCGGTTCGGAGCGCGCCCGGCCTTTAGCCTGCCCCGCCGAGTGCAGCGGTAAGTAAACGCTGGACTTTCTCGTGCGCTTGGCTCGTTCGGGGCGCTGCAGGGTTGATTCGCGTGACTGCGTGGGGCTGGTGGGGCGCGGGGGCGAGGGGCAGGCGGGAGTCGGAGATGCTTCGCCGCGTAGCAGCCGTCTGAGGGCACGCGCCTCACGCTCGCAAGCCTCGTCCGCGCCCAGCGGTGACCTCGACGGCGGGGAAGAACCTAGCCGAGGTTTACACCCGCCGTCGCAGTACATCTCACAGTCGATCAGCTCCAGCTCGAGGTCGAACGCGGGATCCTGTCGAAATGGCTAGATAAAATAATTGTAACTTTTTTAAATTGTCAAGTTTTATCGAATTGCTAGTTAGAGGTGGAATATTTTCTTTAAATTTAAACGGGACTAATACTGAAGTACCCTCTTTTCAACAAAAAAAGAGCAAAATCGGTTCACAAATAGAGTAACCGCGTAACATACATACAAAAAAAAAATCGAATTGAGAACCTCATCCTTTTTTGAAGTCGGTTAATGAGTAATTCCTTGGTGTCGTACAAGGATACATTGCACGGATACGTCACCAGTGGCTGCACGGGGGAGGTGATGAGGTTGTCGCGGAAGGCGGGTGGCGGGCGCGCGCGCGGGGTAGCATCGGGTGCGGTGCGGGAGCGTGGCGGCGGCGGCGCGGCGGCGTCGCGGTCCGTTAGCGAGGACAGCGAACGTAGCAAGCCCCGCCCGATCCCGTTGCTGCCGCACTCCTCATACCCGCTCGCGCAAGAGTAAGGAGGTGGTATTATTGAATTTGCCTGAAAATACACCGCACTCAACAATCTGTACCACTAGGTCGCCTTGCTTAAATTACTTGTATATTAAACTGGACCGCGCACTAAGTTAATAAAACGAGCCGAGTGAGAGGCTACAAAGTAGTAATGCGTCTCTTTCTAATAGGGTATTCAGTCGTGTGTCAGCCAGCCATATTGTTTTTAACTTTTTAATTTTTACAGAAATATAATATGGATGACCAATACTAATATTATTTCATAATACAAATTATTATACTTATTTGATATGATTACTTCATAAAGATTTCATTGTTGATATATATTTTTTGTTAATAGACTAGACACTACCTAAGATGATTTTATTTAGCATTGGCAACTTGTTAAACAAGGCCTGACCACTACTTCGAGCTATATCACGTGCGTCGGTTTTTTACTTTTACTTAAAATAAACCTTAACATAACCCAATAAGGTGTAAATTTGTATTATTGGTATATCGCGATCCAGTTTATGAAATCGATACTACCTCAGACCGAATTCTAATTTTTCCCGTTGTGTCAAGCTGCAGGGACACTGGCTTTATTTCAAAATTTATATTTTTATAAACGAAACTAAATCTATTTGAAAAATGTATATCATATTCGTTACGTGTTCTATTTATGTCAGTCGATATAAAAAAATCATTGATATAGGTAAAGTACCTATTGAATGCAGCGGTTTTCTTGTAAAATTCCGATGTAAGTTTGTGTCTTTCTTTTCTATCGTGAACATTTTTAGGTATCGTGTTTTTACACCACAAGGTGCGCTGATGAGTACAAACTCATCACTATATATCCTCAATTTTATTATATATTTTTTTCAAAGTGATTGATACAACACTCACTGTTATGCGTAATCAACCAACGCCATTTGAGGTTGTATCGACTGTTAACGACAACAGAGTCAAACACCTCGCGCTCACCTCATTCGCTGCGTTACATATAAAGCTGGAGTTAAGAGATTCTGCAGTACTCGCCGCTGAGAGAGAACCTGAAATGAGATACGTATGAACTTCACTGGTCATCGATACACATCACAATATACAAGAAACCAGTCCAAACTAACAGTAGTGGATAGTGGCGTTAAATTAGGTTAATTCCGAATGGCCTTCGTGTTTTTCATAAACACTTTTTTATTTTTTATTATATTTAGTATTTATCAGTTGGCAGCATTGACTTACAATTAGATAGACGACGGATCTAATACAAAAACCACGAAGAAAATGTCTCAAGTCAACCTATTTAAACGTAGTGACATGTAAAGGAGTATGAAAAAGCTAAAACGTTGAATTTAAATTGTAATGTCATCGCAGTACTGTCTAATTTTGCTTGCTTCGCTGTCAGTCGAACAAACGAAGACTAAAGCGTGAATGACGCTCTGTATACGATTTTAACGCCCTATAAGTTCGGACACTTTTTAGCGCGGACCCGACGTCCATATAATTGTAAGTCAATGGTTGGCAGTTATAAGACAACTATTTAACTTGAAGCGAAGTTTACAAGATTAGATTTATAATACAAAATGCCACGTGCTTCATTTTCTTCAAAAGCAAAGGGTCTATTATACGCAGAAGCAAAGTGATTTAATTCGTAAAGAATTATAATACCTGATGCACCAATTACATAGTTTCGGAAGTAGTGCACCATAAGGTAGGTGCCGGGGGATTTCCCTTCTCCTTCTCCACATGTGATGACCAGGGGATATAGATCAGGTTTCGCTGTGACCTGCCAAGAAATGGACCTTAATCTTCTTCCTCATTTCTAACAATAGTTGTTTCCTAAACATAAAGACATGCAATATAAGAAGCCAGCTGTAATGTTTATTTATATTTTGAAGACCTTGCTAGATCAAGAAATATAGTGTGATTTAATTTTTTTTTCGTGTGTTATGAACGTCTATCTGTATATATAATCAACAATGCTCTTAAACATGTTTGTATGTAATTCTGATCGCGAGGTTTTCAGTTTATGAAGCAACAACAATCATTCACATCGATGACAATAACTTGAAAGCCTAGAAGTACATTTATTCACATTTCTCAAAACCAAACAGTGGTGATAAAAACGAAAAGTGCGGAACATAATAAAAGTGAACTGAAAAATCACAATAAGAATATCACTTCAGAATACGGAGGTGGAGCCGTGTGAAAGGATCCGCAGCGGGAGTACCGCGGCGGGGCGTAGAGGGAGCCAGTCGAGTCGCGGGCAGAGCGAGGACGACGCATGCAGCACACGAATGAGCACATGTAGACGCCGTGACGAGGGTGGTTGCGCTTGATGAACAGGCAGTAGATGCAGCACATCAGAATCCCGCCCAGCGTACCCAGCAGAAACAGCACCGGCCTGATAACAATCACTTTTTCAATCTGTTCAATACAATTTAAATTACGAATAGAATAGTCTTCATCGCCATGTTTAAGACAACCTCGCTGATTGGCTATAGATGGTTACAAAAAAACTTTTATAAGTATATGGCTGGCTCCCAAAGTGGCCTGTGTACAGATCTGTGTGCAGATAGTTCCTACCTAAGCACTTTCATAATATTTTTTTAAGATATTCATAAATTACTTATGAAGTAAACATTTCACAACAAACGAAATACAGAGTTATAAAAAGTTAAGATCTGGTTTTTAACTTATCAAAGTGTGTAAGCATTATGCCAGTAAAGTTGTCAATAACACATTTGAAGTTGATCCATTTGTAAAAAATCCAAATTAGAAACGCAAGGTCAAAAAAAGGGTTCGTGGCTTACGAAACAAAAAACTTTGGAAACCTCAGACGTACATGGTAACTGGGTAGGGCGATCGGCTACTCACCATTGCGTGTACCAAGGGCGGGCATAGGCACGCAGAGCGTCCTCGACGTCGCGGCGCGGTGGAGGGGTTAGAGGGGCACAGCATCCCGAATCACAGCAGGTGAAGTGCGCGGGGCACACGCGCCCGTCGCCGCACGTTGTTGAAGGGGCGCACTATCAACAATCATATCTCACTTGGGTGCGTTAAACAGATATCTCTTTTATTTATTACATATGTGTCATTTATTTGCTAGAAATGTAGTTACAAGAAGGTGTTATTATAATATACTACTATTATTCCTTACTTTTCACCAGGAACAGTCTCATAAATATTATACATTCAATCAATGCAAAATATTCGTCGATTTAATGACAAACAATGCTATTTACATTATAATAAAAACATTTTTGAATAGTTTATTCTGCTGATATCTATTAATAAATGAAATTTTTCATAATTTTTATGAAAGTTTACTATATTTCAATTACAATTAACTTTATCTGACATTAAATAGAACATGTGTAATAAATAAATAAGATACATAAGTATATGTATTAAGTTCAGAATGAGTGCCGACGATTTCGAGCTTAAGTAACAATCAAGGCATACGTGAAAATTTTATCACATCGACCAGAGTAAGAAAAGATAAAAGATTTAAATTCACTGCGAAATTATTTAATTGTAGCCAACAACAGTCAGTGATTTTTAAATCTTGGTTTGTACTGATCAAAGTAAGAACATTTAACAATCATAGACTAATCGTCAGCAACAAGGGCCATCTGAAGATTAACGTGCTCTGGCAAATCGTTAATAGAATACGAACACGAGCAGCCCTAGAATGGTACCCTGCGGTACACTGCGCTCTACAGTTCTTATATTTGATTTTACTTCCTTTTCTGTGTGTGTGTCCATATATGTAATCTGTGTTTCCCGTCAGCGATTTATAGTTATGAGGTTATGACTTTATTAGATCGTATGAAGGTTCTTGCAAACCATACTCATATATCTTGTTCACTAGTAATTTATGTGATACAAAGTCTAAAGCTTTGATCACGTCTGTGAAAACTGCTATATTTGCTAATAGGCAAATTATATTATATTATATTCTATATATACAAACATATTCACGATCAGGCAGATCATGAAAAAATCTTCTTTCTTTTTCTTATTTTTTTTCTCGAGAATTAAAGTAGGTATATCTACATACTTATACTAAAAGTGGTTTCAGTACATCGGCTCCATAAAATAAAGACTTCTAGACAAAAATTATTTAATTATCAAAGGGGCTTTGTGAAAGACAAATGCTTTAGCTTTTTCTTTCTTCAAAAACTTGAAAGGAGCAAAACTCAGGTGCTTTGATGCGCGCCGCGTCTTAAAATCTAAAAGAAAAGACGTTCATCTGCGCAGTTTCAAAACAAAAGACATTCACTTCTACAACCACCTGTTAATTCCCATTTTCCATATCAAAAGATTTACTTAAGAACGCCTGTAGTATTATAAACTACAAGACCATTTGCCCTAACAAACCGGGAATGAGATTAAAATTCAATATTCCCTGTGCTACCAGGTACCTAGGTTTCGCAGCTCGCCCTAGATACTATTTTTAGATAATTCGCGGGATTTCTATCCCGTACTGCGCAGGTCCAAACACCCGATCAATACTCCTTATTGTCAAATAGCCCCGACCTCAGGTCTATGAAACGTAGCTATGTATGAGACCTAGATTCGCTATTTCATATGAATTCAATTTTGCTATTGTCAATAGATAAGAAGTGAATAAGGCTTCGCTATCCTTTGTAATGTCCTAATTGCAACGCAATGGTAATTAAATAAAGACTTTCCATTTTTGACAACGCTTAGCAAAAGTCTAATTAATTAAGAAATTTTCTTGTTAATAATAAAATTATAGATGTAAAACTAATTGCTGACAAAACTGTTCAGTGTTAACAAAAGAAATAAACTATACCTAGACAGATATTTACGAAAGAAACAAAAGACACGAGGCGCCAAAACAAAACGAAAATAATTGTTGACAAGAACACGTATCACACCACACTTAGATATAAAACAATTAAATACAATATCAAGATCACACAAAGAAGGAATATCCACGCAGCTCCTAAGTAGGTAATTGATAAATGACTCACTGGAACAGGCGGTGTGATGATCAGGACTCCGAGAATGGAGAATGCAGTTAGACATAGCAACATGATGAGGGTGACGGGCGTGTTGTACGTCATGGGGCAGGTTTGATCTTCTTCGCAAAGAACGGTAGAGAGCGGTGCAACGGTGCACTTGCACTTGCACCAACGTTGCACCGGGAAATGCTATTTTGGGGCCATCCCGCTGCCTCCTCCATCTATCTCGCCCGTTCTCGCTCGAACTGAGCCTGTGCAGTACGTATTTCGTTTCTATTCTAGGGACAAAGTTACGATATCGTTCCTGTGTAGCGATATTGAACGTTGGGTGGCTGGCTCTACGACGTCCCGTTGCTTTTTTTGTGATTAAAAAAATCTTATATAATCATTACGGCTTACAGAATTACTTAAGTAGTTCACCATTTTACAGCAAAATAACATTTTATTCTAAATGGTAGCGTATTTTGGTCTAGTTAATACTGTAATTCGTACTTGAGCACTTAGCACTATAATAAAACACCACCCGTAAAAACACGACTTTCAGCAACAATACCGCATCAATGACGTCTCGCAATTTCTACACATCGTGTCAGAATACTCCTTCAGTTACAGCCAGTTAAGTTGACCTACTTCCTCCCCCGTGGCTGTAGAAACCTTACGCTAAAATATTGGATTCTATGTCCCACCAAAGGTCTCGTGAAGTTAGGCGAGTGAGAGGAACTATCTTTCGTGACTGTAAAAAGGCCGTAACTTGAACCTCTTCAATGACTTAAAATGATAAACTTTGTTTAGTTGTAATAGTAACAAATATTGAGTAATCATGGTATCTGTGAAACAGAAATCTGTCTATTCGTAGCACATAGAGAGATGTGTAGCGCTGTCGTAGCCATTTATCATACATCTATGGGCGTAGCCACGAACTTTCGTAGTGTAGAATAGTTCGCATGTAAAATATGTGGACTTACTACAAATAATTTTTTCACTTCTCATGCTCTTAAAATTCTATGCTGGGTGTAGGCTGCATAAAATAGAATTTTATGCTCTAGTGCATAAAATAAAAAACCATCACATTAAATATGTCTAATTGTTCTAATTTTACATTCAATTTTAATTAAATAATCGTTTATTTGTAATATTGCTGTTTAATTTCCTCGCAATCGAAGTGAAAAGCAGAGTGTATAACTCGTTCATAAAATCCATTCTACCTTCGACTTAAGTATCCTTAAGTATGGATATACTCGTCTCGGGTAAAATGACGCGTTTTATGCACTTATTGTACAATCTACTATATTTAAATGATGTAAAATAGGTAAAATTTTTCGTCTTAGAAATGCTATTGGACAATATTAACTTAAAAAAGTACTAAAAAACCGACCTCAAAAGTACTTGGAATTACATCTATTTGCCAAGTTTTTTTTGAAATCGGTTACCGGAAAGTGTGCAAACCCGGATTCATCCCCTAGTTCGCCACTATATGGAGCTTGATACCGGAGATAATAAAAATCGGTTCTCACTACTCAATTTTCTATATCTATGCCACTCAAAGTATATTGAGAAAAACGCATTGAATTAGAGAATAGCAAAATCAACCATTAAAATAATTGCTCCTTATAATAAAATTTAGGCGCTATTTATAAATATAACTATAACAGTCACTCTTAGAGGTGGATGATTTTCTTCAAAATTGAATAGGACCACTATGGAGGTGCCCTCTTTCCAACAAAAAAAGAATCCTGAAAATCGGTGCACAAATACCGGAATTGTCGCGTAACATGCATACAAAAAGAAACATACAGTCAAAAAAGAAGTCGAAAAGTTGAGACCTCCACCTTTTTTTGAAGTCGGTTAAAAACCAGTCTGAACGAGCAGCCATCGTTTAGAGCAAGAAATCGTGTAAAAATACATTCAGCTTCGGAAATTGAATCATATGTCAAAATTTTTCTTCAAATGACTTTTTAACAGTATCGAAAGAAAGACAAAACTATACTACAAAAATTCTTTTCTAACAACTCTATAGAAACGGCTATGATAGGGGGCTACATCAACTGAATTTTCTAACTATAATAGTAAGTTCCAAGTCGTTTTTTCATTTAGAGTAATAAGGTTTGACAATTAAATTTTTATTGAATTGATATTCAATTATTTTTTGTGAAATTACTCCACTAGTTTGTTATAATTATTAATACAATTATAATAAAAAAAAAAAAAAAAAAAAAATTGAATATCAATACAATAAAAATTTAATTAATACAGTGAATAGCGACATCTCTCGCCAGGACTGGTAGCTGTAAAGGTACTAACTGGGTGATAAATCTGTAATAGATTTCTCATAGATGGCGCTACGACTAAAAAGTCGTTGAAAGACCAAGTACAAAGACACGACGCAAGCACATAGAAAAATTCGTGAGGTCCGTTGGTTCGTTCCGTGGCTTAGTTGGTATAGCGTCTGGCACGGCATGCAAGAAGACGTCGGTTCGAATCCGACCGGATTTAAGAAATTTTTTCTGAGTGTTTTTTCTGAGTGTTCGATCTTTGTATTAATAAGATTTGACAACATAATGTAAATTTTAAGCCACATATTTTCGCGACGAGCTATTTTACTCCACTTGTTTATCCTTACTCGAACGTTTGCTTTTTTTTTCACGATTTTAGACATATTCCATGGTAAATATATGTTAATATCAGTCACTAAAGTATCCCACTGGCGAAAGCGTGAAACTACACGTTAATTTAGGTCTATGTTTGCTAATACCAGCTGTACATTATGGACATTCACAATCTCGAGCAGGTAGTGCATCGGGACTTAGCGGATTTCCTTGTCACTCGCTGTGACATTTAGAGCCCAGTGTCGGAGTTTCGCAAGTGTCCGTAGTAGTTTAATTTGGTTACAATAAAGCTACGCTGGTAGCACGTAGCATGAAGGCATGCGTCGTAAACAAATGGAAAACAGCTACGAGATTTAGTTTGGTAAATACGAACGTATTTTTGCAATAAGTACGTATATTGTTGCAGATAATTTTCACTTATAGCTTTTATGCTTATCCTAGTCATAGAACTTTACAGGTTTTTTTTATGATACCAAGTGACTGGACGAACAAGTGACTGGACGAACAAGTCGTGCGCCTGGCGGTAAGCGTCACGCCTGTCCATAACAGTTGCAGTGCCACACACAGAGCTTTAAATCGCAAAGATGTGAGGAGCGCTGCCACTGCGCCCGTCACGCTGTGTCCCATGTGGCTGTAATTTTGCCTACCAATTGCCTTACCTTTCAAAACCGGAACGATGGCAGTACTTCACTGGACCAATTCTTTAACAAGGAGCTCTACTTCTGCTAAATATATATACGTACGCTTAACATATAGATAAACTTGTTTCAAAATCAGTCATTCAAAGTTTATTCAATATTTATTCAAGTTAGTTTTTCTGCTGCGTGGGCTTTCCGATTAATAAGTCTTTTCAATTCTTAACAATGTTTCCTAGGTGTACGCTTTCTAATGAAATGTTTTTGTGTTGGTAATTTATTCCTAAGGTTGTCTTTTGATAAGGTTTAAATTGTATTATTTTTGTTTTATTTAAGGTCAGTAAATATTGAATTTGTTCTAGTTGTAATATGTATACATACTCGATGTAAGTATATTATTGTTTATATCAGTCAATGTTGAATAAGGAAATATATTTTAACAACAAAACACATAGAAAAATTTGTAAGGAGGGAATTTTTTCTGAGTGTTCGATCTTTGTATTAATAATTATAACAAACTAGTGGAGAAGTTTCACATAAAAATAATTGAATATCAATTCAATAAAAATTTTAAAATATATTAAATTTTAAACCGCACCACGCACGTTGTCATAAACGATTTTGGCATTGTATTGTCCTTGAGCCACACGGTATCTCGCGGCTGTTAAAATCACCATTTCAAAATTTATAAAAAAAAACACTTAAAATTTTTAAAAATTATTATTCAAATCTTATTTTAATTGCAATAAGTGTTTTTGAAGCCTTTTTAAATGACTTCAAAAAAGGAGGAGTTTCGCAATTCGACTGTATTTTATTAGTTTGTATGCTACGCGATTACTCCACGATTATTTATGAACCGATTTTGAAGATTCTTTTTTCGTTGGAAAGAGGGTACCTCAGTATTGGTCCCATTTAAATTTGAAGAAAATATTCCACCTCTAAGTGTGGCAAACTAGGAGATGAATCCGGTTTCGCGCGCTTTCCGGTATCCGATTCCAAGAACTTTTCAGGTCGTTTTTTTCATATACAAAAGTTAAAAAAAAATGTGTGCACGAACGAAACATGTCAATTTGCATATACGGACATGATTACGAATACGTGTTTTATCTGTGTATTTCTAAAAGTAAGCTAGTGTTGTCGAATTTAGTTTGTATGAGACTATAGTGTTACAACTCGATTTTGCATTTGAGTGCACCTGTTTTTGTAGTAGTGGGTACTACGGTAGTAATAATAAATATCGACTCATCCGAGGAACAGAGTCTGATGTGATTATAGAACGAAAATATGATAAATTTATAATTTCCTTATTTAAAATAAGGCCTATCTATAAGTGTTTCCATAATTTTTATATCTTATTTCGTTTTGGATGTATAAAATCGGACACCGGTCGATCTGATCCACAGTGAAGAACAACGAACGTAATGTATAATGTTCTGAGAATAAGCAGTCTTGCAGATAGGCCTTTGTTCTACGGATGAGTCGATATAATAAAAATTAGCAGAAGTCTTATTTAAGAAATAATACGTATTGTGTCTCCTGTGTTGTATGCTCTAAGGGGACAGGAAATAAGTTTAAGTTGTTCCTTAGCACTTAAAACAATCAGTCGTAAAATTCGCTGCACATATTAATTTATAAAACTAGGACATGGTGATATGGTAATATTTGTTTAGTTTAGATACGTGGGAATGTCGATCAAACTCCGGTGTTCGGTCAAGACTGCTTTTCTGTATTTCATTGATACCCATAACAATTAATTATACCAACTCTACAATATCAATTCAGGATAGGATTATTGAAAAGTATCACCTTAATTATTTTTATCTAATGATTTTATTTACCAGTATTTAAAATAGTGTTAAAAAAATATTCACCAGTCAGTTAGTCGTCACGGGACTTGTAGGGCCCGAAACGTTGGTTTAGTTGAAAAAAAACAAAGATACGCTATTTGAATCCGAAAAAATTGTTTTATTTTCTACAAATGTATAACAATCGCGAAAACTTACGAACTCGACAAAGTGATGGGTCAATCACTTTTATTTGATTTTTTGATTATTATTTGAAGAAAAAAATATTTTTACATTTTAGAAAAACAAATATATATAAACGAATAAGGTCTAAATAAATATCTTTTTTAACCGACTTCAAGAAAAAGGAGGAGGTTCTCAATTCGATTGTGTTTTTTATATGTGTTACGCGATAACTCGCATTTGTGAACCGATTTTGATGATTCTTTTTTGTTGGAAAGAGGGTACCTCAGGAGTGGTCCCGTTTAAATTTGAAGAAAATATTCCACCTCTAAGGGTGGCAAACTAGGGGATGAATGACTATTGAGGTAGGTTTTTTGGTACTCTGTATTAACTATAATTATAGTTAACCACATGTTAGAATAGAGTAGACGCAGTATGAATGTGTAATAACGCACACACTCACACACTCAACATAGCCCCGCACAAGGACACCCTGTGTCGCGGGTGCCATGGACACACACATAGACAACCACAAATTACACCCAAACTCACAAGAGAAATAATATTGGGACCTCCTCGTGGCAGTCCGGCATGGTGACCGTTCGGTCACGGAGGCAGTAGTGTGATAAATAGATAAGCGATAGTAATGTTATACGTAATATAAGAATGTAAATATAAAAATATACGTACCAATGGTAACTCTGCCCTTGTAATTAAATTTACAATCCCTGCTAGTTCTAAACCCTCAAAAGATATAAAAGTTAGACAACTTGCGTTTAATTTATTTATTATGTTATATTTTTACAATAATTTAAAAAAACAATTTTCATAAAGAAAATTTAATAAATAATAAAAAATCACAATCGTTTGAAATTGTTACAGTGAAACAAATAAAAAACATTCACGCATTTCAATAGTGTAATAATATTTTTAAGGTGAAAAACGGACATTACAATCAACTGTCAGTAAAATTCTCACATAGTGCTTAAATTCTCTTTGAATTCTCATTATTTTATGCAGCCGATTACAAAACAAAGATTTTAACATTTGTACTTATCATTAAGGCTCAACTCACACTGGCGCAGAGTCGAAGCGTCGCGACGCGTCATGTTTTTCGCCTATAGCATATTCATCTCTATTTTCCCATTATTAAAACACAAATTTGTGTTTTGCAAATATGGAATCGAGGGTCGACGCTTGGTAACATTCGAGTGGCTTCGCGCGTCACTTGGGCGCCGTGAAGCGTCAGACGCCGACCACACTGTGATCCCGGCGCACTAATGCGAGCGTTATCAGGCGGTATATTTGACTTATTAAAACAGGACGCGACGCGACGCTTTGTTCGTGTGAGTTAAGCCTTAGGGTAACTTCAAATTAAAAGCTCATAGAAACGCTGCAGTGGCGCCACTACTAATTTTCATACAATATTTTATAGTCGGTATTTTTTTGAAGACGGAGTAAAATGACATTTGCAGGGTTGCCAGTTTTCATAAAATTTTAAATAGTCATGTAGTTGTTGTCAACAGTTTTGTCGAAAGGTTGTGAAAATAGGTGAAATTTTGCCAAAAATGCCTAAATTGAGAATGTTACTAATTGCGTTATTGTATTTTTTATTCCTATTTTGACAGTTGGCCCATTAGTGGCGAAATGGATTTTTTTATTCATACACATTTTAATAACGACAGGCAGACATTTTTTTTATATATCTCCCAAGTCTATTTTTAATAGACATAGTTCCAAGTGTAGTGTATGTATGTACGTGTTTTCAAATATTGACAATTCAAATTAATCTGTGCCCAACAGTTGGACGAATAACGTACCAATGATGATTCAGATGAAACAAGTTCAACAATTTATTCATAAGCGTAACTAACATTCGATTCGATTATCGACTGCAATCACTAGCTGCTTGTAAACGGGCAACACTTTTGGACAAACTGGCACTTTATTCCATCTTCAAAAAAGATAGACTATAGTAAAGTCGTGATATTCAATAAAAATAAAAATCAACGTCGAATTTCGTCGACCTACTAACTCGCCCTCCAGCTCAGTTGGCGGAGCGACGCTACGGTATAGCGTGGCCGCAGGTGCAAGTACTGTCAGGTCGAAAGAATGTTTGTGTTCGATCTTTTTATTGAAAATTATATAACGTCATTATTTTAAAAACAAATGTTCTGAAAGTGAATTTATACAACAACAATGCGGGTTATAAAAATATTCGAGATAACGCAATAGTTACCCTCCTACAACTCTCCTATCTAAAATTTCAGCCATCCTGTTCATAGCATTAGACAACATCTCCATACTCTCCACCTGTCTCTGTATAGTGCTTGCCTGTCTCTCTATGGCCACTGTATACGTCTCCATGGCATTTCTTATTACTTCTACAGGATCATCCCTTTCTCTTGCTTCGTTTTGCTTTCTAAACTCATTCAAAGCTTCACTTAATGTGGTTTTGATTTCTTCCATAAGTTTCGTATGAAGTTCCATGATTTGTGTTTTCGATGAGTCCTTTGTTAGCAATCTTGAAAGTTGCTCCGTTTGGTGGCCTGCAAAAGTTTATAGCTTTTGTAAATATTGGCAAGTTAACAGTGACATTAATTGAAAATTCTAACTGCCTCTGTGGCAGAACCGTTACCATGCTAGTCTACCACGCGGAAATCCCGGGTTTACATTTCTTTCTCTCGTGAGTTGGGTGTAATTTGTGGTTGTCTATGTGTGTGTGGCACCCGCGATACAGATTCCCTAATGCGGGGCTGTGTTTGTGTGCGTTATTGTCATTAACCATTTCCGGTATAACGCAGTCCTTTTGGACAGGTCTTTGTCATCCACTGTTGTTGGCTATTAATCTCATAGAGATATTTAATGAGATATTAATGACAAATATATATCCAAAATCATAAGTTTCTCACAGGTGGCAAGACAATATGTTTAAAACCAATACAAAGGTCTGCAATAAGCACATAGTCGTGCAATAAGTACACCGTAAGTTCGACGGAACTTTTTCAGATTTTAAGACGATTTTAAGATTGACGCACATCTCTATTACTACAACTAACCACTTTGAAGGAAAGGAAACTCACTGGTATTTTCATTTGAGAACAATCGGACTCTCTTCCTCTGGATAGCAACTGTAAACAAAAATAGTCTTGTATAACAAAACACAATTCACATAGTCAAATAACTACCGTGTAGAAATAAATATACGCGATTTACATCATCAACAATTTGATTTTATTTAATTTTATTATAATTTAGAAAACAGAAACAGAAAGCGCAGCGGTGTGCGACGAAAAGTACTGTAGCACTGCAAAATAGCTGAACACTTAAAAATGTGGTGAATCAAAAGTACTTTAATTGTTTCCATATAAATTGAAATAATGTCTATTGTCTTTTTAAGGTATTAGGATATTTACGAGTATATATAGGATATTTCTCATCACATTATCATCTAACCATTTAAAAAATATGTATATTATTTATTTAAGTAATTTTATGGCAGGTTTAAATAAACACTGAATGTAGTTTTACCTTCTCCCTCATTGTTGCTACATCTCTTTCTGTCCTCAGTCTTCAAGTTCTGGGTATAAATAGTAAACATGTCCGGAGAAAACGGCTTGGTGTCAAAGTCGTGTTCAGAGTTGTCCTCCTCTGACGATAGAGGGTCTATTTCTGCAATATTGCTAATGTCCTAGAAAAAATACTTTTTTTTATAATGAGATGATGAAATGGGCCAAATAGTTATTATGTATACATGTTTTCGTGGACCTCAAAGATCATGCCTACATTGAGCGAGAATGTAGAGCGCTTGCTGCTAGGTGCAATATGCTGGCCCATAGTTTCAGTGCGTTGTAGCAGCGGGTACAAAATAACGTTATTTAAAGCTTACTGCCAAATGTTCTACATGTGCGCCTTGTGGATCAGATATACTAGAAAAGTTATGGACACTTTCCATGTCCTGTTTAACAAAGGCTTCAGAGTACACATACATAATTAAAATGTAGCTTAAGCGGGGAGTGCAATTTTTATTTTTACTTTTATTTCAATTTTAATGTTTAATTATTTTATTTCAATTTCAATGTTTAATTTATTTTATTTTGACTTTAATGTTTAATTTATTTTATTTCAACTTCAAAATTTAATTTAATTATATTATATTTAAATTTTCAGTTTTTAATATTATTGTACTTTATTTTATTACATTTATAAGTATTAAACTGTGTAAATTAAGGTTTCTGGAAAACTAATAAGTCGAGCTATGTTGTCTTTAATAAAAAAAACTATTATTATTATTATTATATGTTTCATTGCTATTGGTCTATTAGATAAGATATTATGATATGGTAGAACCTACTGGTTTCAGAACGTAGCACCTAAGTTGCGTGGGCGCACGGCGCAGGTGTAAGTCTTTATTGATACTGACGTTAAAATGCATATTAAATGCATTATTTTTAATGTATGACTTTGTCAACTTTATGATACCAACATCTAACAAGTTGTAACAAAAATCAGACACAGCTTACAATGCCAGGTGATTTATTGTCTGAAGACTCGGTCTTATAGAGGTGTAGTACTCTGGATTCCAAATCAGAGAGTTCAGCATTGCTGCCTTCAACAGCTGCCTTGATAACCTTTTTCTTTGTGTTAGATTTCCAATCTCGCATTACCTTTAACAAAACCTAAGTATTACTGCCTGCATTAAATGTATATTATAACATTATAATAATAACATATATAATTAAACATTCGATGTAATAAAACAAATAAATATTGGGCACTAAATAATAGTTCACATTGACAAATGAGGAAATAAAAAAAGTAAGGTATAAATTTATACAAATTGACTGTAGAAAATACTGAATTTTTGAAGATTGAATTGACATCTCTAGCTAGGGCTGGTAGCTGTAAAGGTATCTAACTGGGTGACGAAATACTTTCATAGATTTCTCATAGATGAAATTGAAAACCAAATGCAAAGATCCAACAACAAGCACATAGAAAAATTCGTGAAATCCGCTGGTTCGTTCCGTGGATTAGTTGGCATAGTGTCTGGCACGGTTTGCTAGTAGACGTCGATTCGAATCTGGCTGGATCAAAGGAATTTTTTTTAAATAACAAACTAGTGGAGAAATTTCACAAAAAATAATTGAATATCAACTCATTTGAGATATATACTACATAAGTATACAATATAAGAAAGGAATACAAAACTATTTAAACAACATTTCACAAATGTTTAATTAAAATGAAGTTACAATTATGAAAATTGGCAGAATCAGTAAACTGTCATTGAAAAGACAAATCACTGAAGGTTTCTTGTTGGTGTACTTTTTGATTTGTGAGTTTGCAATAAATTGTAAAAATAATTGTAGACGGCATTTCTTTAAATTTATTTTCAAAACTAAATAACACTTTACTTTAGAATATTAAAACTACAGGCTCAGTTTCGCCTCATCACTGTGACCATTGATTGATCTATTGTTTGAATAGAATAGACATTCATTGCAATGCCACAACACATAGATACAAAAAAAAATATTGATACCACTAAGACAAGCAAAACAAAACAAATTAACAAAATTAAAATAAAATAAAATAAGACAATAACAAACAAAGAGCAAAAAAGAAAAATACTAAATATAACAACTACAAATGTTGTACTGTCATGTGTGCGGTTGTGGCGTACGCAAAAGGACTTCATTCAGCTTATGCCACAGCCGCAATTGACTGTGGTGCTGGTTTTCAATGAGCCCTGAATTGAGTTTGATTGTATTATCATCACTAAATACAATTCCGAGCTAAGACCGACAGCATTATAGAACTGAACGACTTTCTTGGCATTGACAGTTTCTATGTCCTCTGGTTGTTAGTGGTGAGCTTAGCCAGGCTGTATGCTATCCCTATAGAGGTTTGGGTCCAATAAAAGTTTCTCTAGCGCCAGCCTTTATCAGTTCATCCACTGACTCATGGCCCTGTTTGGTTACATGATTTTCAAGGGTACTACAAATATTATACTTTACAAGCAGTTAGGTGACATGATTTTTAATGGTATAAAATTTATACCATTAAAAATCATGTCACCTAATTATACTATAAATGGTCAGTACGCCCGAGAAGTAGAGCATGTGTGCTTGCTACAAAAGTTAGTGATGAAGAAAAAGAATTTAAGAATTATTCAAAATTTGTAAGTAGGTGGCCAGGAACCAGAGAAAAGGGGGATAAAAAAGGGTGGGAAGGTAGTACATTTCGGCCTGAAAGATAAAGGAGTGTTGCGTCTTGTTCAGCTTGTAGCGGTGTGTACTACAGCCTACGTTGGGTCCCAACTTATTCCATTCCTAAAACATACCATATCACACACTGATGAAAGAGATAGCTTCTCTATTCTCACCTGTTGCCATTTCGAGACAACTTTAACAGCCCCATTGTCGATAGCGTTTAGTTTTTTCGCCAGTTGTTCCCACTTTTCAAAGTGCTCCGCCTTGTCGCCTTTTTGCCTGCCTCTGCCAGTTAATAGCAATGGATCCTTCTCTACCTCCATTATGAGCATACTCAGCTGTTCTGGAGACACTTTCTTTCTTTCGTCACTCATCTAGAAAAGTAGAAAATAATATAAAAAATCACCCAACATTTTTCATGAACTTGTTTTCAAAAGTTGTGATACATTCTTACTTTGTGATAGTTCTATCGTTGAAGATAGCGAGGAAGTAATATGATTGTACTCTGTGAAATGATCACACATAAAATTATGTCACGCAAAATAACCTATTTATGGAACGGAATACTCTTTGCAAAATAATAAATCTCGTAAAAACACTGCCAAGTCTAATGGTCTAAATACAAAGATACAAACAATTAAATTTTTTTTCGGTTTGGTCCATGGTCTATGGTTTACACTACAAAGTATACAAAGATATGTTTACTGGATGTACTACGTATGTACACCACGTTTTACACCATGGGGTCCTAAAACACAGGTTGTTCCGTTAGGGCATTGCACATTATAATAAATGGAAACGAAAACAAAATAATTGAATTCACTTTTAATTACAGATTTTTTGAAAATAGCGTTTATCTGGTAGTCTTATTAGTTTGTGCTGGTAGTGTACAAATTCTACCAAACAAGTGACAATATTTAATTATGACAACATTTTATCAGCTGACGTATATTTGTCAATGTGTTGTCGATTATAAGGATGTCAAAGGAAGAAAAATTATCGATATTTATCAAAATGACTATGTCGATATTACGATTTGTTGACATTTTTCTTAAAGACTAACCTAAAATATTGCCAAACTGTATCAAGTACATTATAAAGTATGTTTAGGAGGTTAAATTAACAGGACAAAAAGTGTTGAAATTATAAAACAAAATTATTAAAGACCATAATAAAAGTACTTATTGTCAACCGACAAGCGTGTCTGTGTTAATGAGGGGAAAGATATGTATGAAGATCGTAACTACTTGAAGGTGGTGGTCTCTGTGTACCCCGATGATTATTTAGATATAATATACATACAAATTGAATATACTGTGGCAGCTCAGTTAGAAACTGCTAGAATACATTTTATTTTGGCTACTTCGATGGACATTATTGTCCTAATCTTTTTTTGTCACTTGTCACGATTTGATGTTTAGTAATTAAAAACTTTAAGATGTGGATTGTCAGATCCATTATTAAGCGAAGAATAATTGATTTTTTAGATCAACAATTCAATGTCTTTGCAAAATATTCGAATGACTCGAAACAATATGATCATTAATAAAAAAAAACGTTTATTCATCTTAGATTTCACCACAACGCTAATATACACAAGTTCAATAGTGGCATTACATTTACACGACCGTAGTCGTCTTGTTTTATTGACCGGAGATTGAATTCCGGGTGTTAGAGGCCAAGTGTCTCATAGCACAGGTCTAACCTAGTTTGGACTCCTGTCTCCCAACCTCTCACGTATATTATATTACCTACATCTTGTACTTGTTGGGAGAAAAATAAACGATTTATTATTATTATTATTATTATATTATATTATTATATTTGTGCTTATTTACATAAAATGTTTGCCATAAACTTGTAATACATAATATACTTATTACAGTAATTTTGTCAATTGTTAAGAACTCGTGCAGTTGTTAGTTAATTATATTGATATACATAGGACGTTAGATAACGTGAAAATAATAATAACATTGATTATTGATAATATACAAAATAATGTTTCATAAATTACGACTACACTACCACTGCTTAGAAGGTAACATTATTGAATTGCAAAAAATGTACTTAGGGATGTATAATTTGCGGTGCAAGGTGGCTTATTTCGTGGAGCACTTGACAAGATGAATTTGGTGGTAGAATTGAAAGAAAAATTGATTCAAAAGTAGTATTAATTTTATATTTATTTTGACCGAGGGGACTGCGTATGAATGGGGTCACCTGTGAGGTATGTTCAATACTCAATACACTATGCTCTAAAATGTATTGATATTGTTTTCAAATATTTGTAAAACACTTGCTGTGGTTGCGATAAAAAAATATCGAAATTAGTGTTAAAAAATATCATTAAATGTATAATCTATACTTTAGCCAAATTTGATGTAGAATGTTTAATAACAAAACGTTGCTACGCAACCAATGATGGCTTAGGGAAAGAACATTTTTTTCAATGCTAATTATTAAGGCTTGCTCTGCCCACGATCTGCTCCCTTAATTTGAATGTGAATAGGTAAGTAGGTAATTAGGTTACGTAGAAGTAATACTTACCTAGCTAATTATGTATCCCATTAATATTTACTGCTATATTGTTTTAAGAATTTATTTGATATTAATTTACTACATATTATATCATCCAGTATCTATTTCCGATTTTGAAATTGAATTACCACCAGAACTCGAATGTTTGCAATCTCTACCTTCAAATCAAAAAGTTACTAGGGATGACACAGTTTTACAAATAATTATTACTGGTCATTTTTATATCATTTTTAGTGATTTGAAACTTCTGTTGAATAATATTCATTATAAACATGGCATCAAGATTTGTATCATCCATAATCTAGTCGAATTTCGTAGGAGAATTTTGAAATTATGGTAACTGTGAAAGGTTCTGAGATGGAAACCCTAAAAATCATATGTTTTTGTTTGTTGACGTTTATTCTACATCGAATTTGGCTGGAGTATAGAAAAAATGGTTAATTTGAAATATCGATATTTTTTAGCATCCCTAGTTGTCAACTTGTCATTTTGTTTTAAAATAATCCTGGTTTTTATTTCGTGAAATAAAATGCTTTTATAAATTAATAAGCACGGACTAGTATTTAAAAATGAGGCGTGAGGTGTTAGTGCTGTTTACATTGGTATTATGTGCTCGGGCGTGGGACGATGACGATTTAGAGGTGTTCGACGTGGTGGAAGAAGTTAATCAGAATTTTTATGAATTACTTGGCGTTACACAGGTTAGAAACATTTCAATTATTTAAAACAAATATATATATCTGCAGTCGACAATAATCTGTCGTTTGTCTGTGAATTTCCTGCATTTTGTCGCGATGGACACACGTACATAAGGTAACCTGAAACTACCTATTGAAATGTCTTAATTTGCTACGCGATTTGCATTATTCTGGGCATTTGGCGTTTTGCGAAAAAGTATAAACAAAACTACAATTTTCCAAGATATTTATGGGACAACATTTACTTTCTTTTTCAAAACCTATAAAAATGTATGTGAAAGTTTAAGGTGTGTCATTTAGGAAGCCACACCAGCGGAAATTAAGTCTGCGTTCAAAAAGCTGACTCTGAAACTGCATCCAGACAAGAATGATTCACCAGATGCTGATGTTCAGTTCAGGAACCTGGTCTCTGTACACAACATATTGAAGGACCCAGGGAAACGAGAGAAGTAAGATTTAACTTGGCGTCTGTTTTTAATAATTTTTTTCCTTTTCTCTCCATAATAAGAAAAAGAAAACATGAAATTCTTAGGTTTTTGTGATTGTTACACCTAGGAAATGAAACTTTTTTGAGTCTTAATTGTATTACAACGGTGTGGCAAAATTTGGAGTGCCTATGACTGCTTGGATGTCGAGTTGCAGACACCAGCCCATTACATCATACCATGTGATACCATCATATTAGAAATAGTATATTATTCTATTCTATTTTTAACTCTCTGGCTTCTCTTGAAGAATTTTGCCAAGTCAGTCATGGGAGCTACATTTTTTTGTTTTAATGTCTAATTAATTAACACTGCTCTTTAGTCTATTCTGGCTTCTGGAACAAAACAAAACAACACAATATACCATCACTATTATGATATATTAATATAAGTAAATAAGTTTTATAAGTTAACTTTGTTAGTACTAATAAAATCAGATATTAATTCTAAGAGGGATTTGTAAAAACAGGTAACAAAAAGCTGTTGTACTACCTTCAACTGTCATACATAAAGTATTTGTACAAGTAACTACCAATCTAAATGCACAACAAAACAAACCAACATTACTTGATTTAGATCTGAAAATTAATAGTTTTGTATTCTAAGAAAATAGTTAAAAATATGTTAAAAAACTAACTATTGTTGGTGTTAGATAACAGCTTAATTTATTATATATAGATTGGCCTTATAATCTTCAAATTAGAGTACTTTGGATTGAATATTTTATGTGACTTGTGTATATCCTTTTGACAATATGCTCATAGCTTTAAAGTCAGGTTTTCACTGTACCAGTGCTCTCGGACCAAGTGCGCTCGTATGAGCTATGTCTTATAGGAATCCACTAGGATTTTGGTTTACACCTCACAATTTCATTAGCATCTACGTAGCATTTGTTTCTTTGAAGAATCAAAATGCCGATGATTGATCTGTTGATTAATAGACTCAGGTGTTACTTTGCGGAAGTCCATGTTAATAAAAATGGAAGTAAATTAATATGCTACTCCGCGAACCAAGTGATGGTTAAATTGTGCAAAATAGCAGTGCTTGTGTTGAATATACATTTTTTTCATGCAGTTTATTTTCCCACCCTCCCTCTGCATAAAATAAATAACACTAGCCATTGACCTACCAACAAATGGACATCAGGTCTAATACAAAAACCACGAAAAAATGTCCGAGGTTAACCTATACAAACGTAGTGATATGTAATGAAATATAAAAAACTAAAACATTTAATTTAAATTGTAACGTCATTGCAATACTGCCCAAGTTTGCGTACAACAATTTTAGGGCCCAAAAACACCATATTCAGCTTCTACTGGAAACTTAACAAAATGCACCATATTTAGCTTCGACTGAAAATTACTTGAATACAAGAGTAGGTAATGGAATAGCCTTTCTCGTAAATATTAATTAATTTATTATAATTAATTTATTGTCGAATTTTGTACAAATTCACTTAAAGGTATAATAAAGAGTTGAGCAGATACATACATACAATTATTACTACAAATGTGAAAATAAGCGTGTGCTATAAGAAATGTACCGATATTCTAACTAAACGTAAACTCAAATATCCGTAATTCTGATTTATAACAAAACCGTTACGCTTTCGAGTAATTTGATGCTTTTCACATAGACAAAATTAGCTTTTGTTTTGTAATCTTCGTAAAAACACATTATGAAAATTCGAGCTAATGTTATTTTGGGCAAATGTATTTTCTTACTTCTGATAGGTAATCCCATGCCGTGAAACGAGTACAATAATATTTTGTTAGTTATTGCTAACGTTTAATAAAAAAATCATTTTAAAAATATATTTAAAATCAAAGCTACTCTACAGTTTCTTTGTTCTAAATATTTCAATGGCTTGTAGTTCGAACAATTGAAAATGACCAAGAAGTTTATATAAGCTTCTTGAAACTGATGTAATGGGTCTCTTTCCATCTTTTGCGCATGCAACGAGTAGAAAAAGGACAGTTAGCTATTTCATTATTTCGTGTGCTTTTGTTATTTATTGTTACGATTCAGTTATATATAAATTAAATACTATAAAACTGTACAAAATAACAGTTTTAAATGACAACTATGATAACACAATATATTTGTTTAGTGAAAATATGATACAAAAACCCTGTTTTCACACTTTACTGCAGTAATTTTTACAAGTTATTATTTGTACTGCATATATTGGTACTGCATGATTGAGAACCGCGCTGTCACTCGAACAAACGAAGACTATTGCGCAATTGACGCTCTGTGTGCGATTTTAACGCCCTACAGGTGCGGACACTTTTTAGCGCGAACCCGACGTCCATTTAGTGGTAGGTCGATGACACTAGCGCAACTACAGTCACAAACCACCACCAAAAATATACCCGACAAGTGTTTCGTCTCTCCACGAGGCATCCTCCGGGGGTTCTTGATTGCTCGACACTCGGCCGAAGAATGAGCTCGTTCTGAACAGTTGGTATAAAAACACCTTTGACACCTCATAGAGTCACGTCCACTTTTTCTTAATTGGCGCCATTATGTTTTCATAAAATGATCTGAGTGTACTCAGAAAAATAGAACCACGGCTGAGTCCACTCTAATCAAATGCCAACGTCTGAGTACGTTCGGATCCGGCTCACGTATGCACACGTTATGAGTGGCGTCTGAGTTGTCGGATGACAGCTCAGACTGAGTTTATATCAATTACATTACAATTACATTTTAAGTTATGTTATGTTATTAAGTTTATTATTTATGTTATTAAGTTATGTTCCAGAGAACTCGCATAGTGAAAATCCGACTTAAGTTTAAGTTGTATATAGTGACAATTTTATTGGACCTAGTCAAAACGCGTCAATTACTATTATAAAATGTAGCAAGTTTACCAAAACGGTAAAGCCTGAAAAACAGCTCAATCTCAGACTCTTGCCTTTTTATCTACATGTGTAACTTCAGATAATGTATTAATTAAATTTTTATTGAATTGATATTCAATTATTTTTTGTGAAATTACTCCACTAGTTTGTTATAATT